TGTCGTGGAAAAACACGTGTAGGCTTTAGGGTCAGGTCAGTAGAAGCTTTTATTCAGAGCTACAGCTGTAGGAGAGGACTCAGAGCAGGGAGATCTCTCTCTTCCAGCAGAATCATCCAGCTTATATACTTTCAAAACAGCTCTTACACAGGCTGTGAATGCATAGTAAATTTTCCCAGAGCTACAGTCAAGGATAACAAACACGTACTCTCTGTTATCTGAAAAACAACAGACACATACTTCTCGGCTATCTCAAGGCTGCGGAGAGGGGGTGAAGCAGAACACTTGGGAATACAAAGAACAAACATTTGTTTCTGTCTTTGCTCTAATGTGCAGAGCCAGCAATTTCCCACTTAACTGTCACGGTCATCTTACGACTTGCAGTTTAGCTTGACCAAAGTTTAAGGCATCCATTTTGTTTAATTCCACAGTTCCCCCTTTAAGACTTCTTTAGTCTCACCTTTAGCCTTAAACTTCCATTCTCATGAGTCTCTCTATCTCATCTTGCAGCCTTTCATGTTTTCTTTCAATCTGTTCACACTTTTGTAACACCATTATTTTAGACTCTGCAGTGTGTTTTCTTGTTTTTACTAAAGCTTTGCCTGCTGGCTGTTACGCAGCAGAGGATCAGTTGTACCAAGACATAAGACATTACTAGAACTATTAAGACAAACAACATTCCATACAGGCTTTTCCTACCAAGGGCCCCTAAATCTGGGAGCCAGGAGGTCAGCCAAGACCACATACTGCCTTGGTCAGTGTTATGCAGAGTAGCGGCTTCTTTTTCAATAATTTCCACCTGAGTTTCGATGGCACCAGAAGCGTCAGGTATGTATACACAGCATTCGGTTTTTATTAATGCACATACACCTCCCTTGCTAGCTAGTATATAGTCTAGGGCTAGGCAGTTTTGTAACGTCATTTGTCTCATTTTTTTCATTTCTTTACTTATTTCATGAAACCCAATGGCAATAGCATTAGCATTTTTTTTTTTTAGAGATGCTGCAATCTTTTTTATTTCGGACTTGGCTAAGCCAGCACCATAGTTGGGGAACATTATACCACAAAACCTTTGATGCTCTGTGATCTCGTGTGCATTACTAATTCTTCCCTTAGGTAAGTGAGACCTAATAGTGAAGGCAGGATATGCTGCAGAGACATAGCACGTTTCCCGCCAACCACAAGGGAGATTTTTATAGGCCTTATTTCCGCATGCAAAATAGTGACTGGCTAGTGCAGTAAATCCACTGCTATCAATATCATCACAGCGTGGACGTGACATCCATTGTGAATAGTACCCTGAGAATCCAACTGAATTGGGAGAGTAGTTGGGTATCCAAGAACAGTTAGAAAGCCAAGCACCATTTACCTTAAATTCCACTTCACACTTACTGAATCCTACTGCAATACTAGATCCATTACAAGTCCAACAAAACTTTCCAGGGGTGGCATATGCTAGTCGTACATAGTCAGCTTGGCTGCAGTTTATGTCTTACCAGGTTTCATTTCCCTGGAAATCTGAATAGTAAGGAGCTGACATTTGGGTTGCATTTAAGGGTACTGGTATTATGGGTATTCCCCCGGTAGAATGGATAGGGATATGACTACATATCCAACAACGAGAGACGTTTAAATCTATCCTAATTTGGTTAATTAAAGGCAAAAAACATTTCCATGCATTAGAACACAAGATCTAATACAGAAGGTTAAAAGGAAGATGTTCATGATGCTGTCTTAAATAATTCTATGTGGCCCATGGTTGAAGATGGTATCTATGTTCTCTGATCCGCAAACTTGGCTGGGCTGAGGTGTTGGGTTCAGGAGAGAGGTTACTAGCACTTGCACTCCAATGCTCCTCACTTGCCTGAGTGAGGTCCTGAGGGTCTTTGTCCTTGGCCTCAGGGAAAGGTCTTAACTTTGGTTGGAATTCAACTGCTTCGGGGTCCAATGGAGGTGATACCTTTTTACAGTGCGAGGTGTGAGTCCACGTCTGGTGACCTGGGCAACAAACAACAGTGTTAGTGGTCAGAAGCACCTGGAACAGTCCTTTCCATCTGGGTTGAAGCGCGTTTTTCCGCTGATGGACCTTTACATAGACCCAATCACCTGGTTCGAGGTTGTGAGAGGGAACATCCCGTGGTTGAGGTAAGGCTTCTTGGACCTGTGAATGAACAGACCTGACATACTTCATTAATGCCTTGCAATAATTCAGTACAGTGTCATCAGTCAATTGTAGATCTGATTGGTGTAAGGCAACAGGTGGTGTGGCTGGCATCCTCGTGGGTCGTGCCATGTGTCACAGGCCAGCTGGGCACTGTGAGTATATCAGTTTAGTTGCAGACTGACTGAGCACTGCAACTTTAGTAGCCACTGGGCTTTTTGGTTCGGGATCGAGAAGGTGATGTTGGAAAGGAAAGAAATGACAAGTTTCACTTACAAAAAAAGAATTAATTTTACTTATTACAACAAAAGATATAGTTTGCATATATAATAGTTAATAAAAGGTTAAGCTAATAAGCAGACAACATAACAATACAAATTAAAATTGACAATGATAATAAAACAGATAAAGAAATTAACCAAGAGTTCCCACTTGGTTAGTAACTTATCGGTAGTCCCTCAGTTAGAAGATGCACGGCAAGTTGAATCAGCGAAGTCAGACGTCTCTGAATTGGGCTGCTCGAAGGATACCAGTGAAAGCCCCTCAGTCAGGATCTGGTCTCACTCTCACAGGGAGTAAGAGATATCTGTGGGGTATGGGACAGCAATGACCCTTCTGTTCCGTCCTTCCCGAGGGTTACTATGACGTGTGTGTTCTTTTATATTTTAATTAAGCTAATTTTTAGTTATATAGCCATTCATAATATTGCTTTATAGCTGTTATCCTATAGGGTCAAAAGGTGTTAGAAATTATGATAATAAGCTAGTGCCCAAGCTTGGGTTTATCCAATAAGCAAATTGCAACACAACATCTTCAGGTTTAAAATTAACATTACCCTGCCTAAACCCATCCCCTTCAAAACTCTCTATGTTTTTTTTGAGATGTCCCGTCTTGAGATGTACTAGATAAGCTGGGCAGTTGAATCCAGTTTTTATCATCATCAAGGCTAAATTCTGAGCGAGAAAGAACTATTAGGTCAGCTAATTTCACAGCTGTGGCTTTGTCTTTGAGGCCTAGTCAGTTCCACAAACAATTACAAGTTACATTTCCGGGTTACAAAAATACAAGCTTCATATTAGACAAAAGTTCCAAATGCCTCCAAGAGGCACATATTTATTGCTTATTAATTTCTTTGATTCTGGCCATCACAGCCATGAGTATTTCATAAGGTGTTAGGCCATGTTTTCTATTGACAGTGTTCCTAATGTGCATAAGAGCAATGGGCAGTGCATCAGGCCATTAGAGGCCTGTTTGAGCGCAAATTTTGAAATGCATGTCTTTAAATCAGGGTTTTTACATTCTACAGCACCACTTGATTGTGGATGATAACTACAGTGCAGATGTTGCTGTATGTTGAGTGCCTGGCAGATATTTTTGAGTATTTGTCCTGTGAAATGGGTGCCTCTATCGCTATCTATTGTGAGGGGCAATCCAAATCTAGGGATGAATTCTTTAAGCAGTTTCTTAGCTACTATGATGGAATCAGCATGTATACATGGGTAGGCTTCCACCCATCCAGAGAACATATCAATAATAACAAGAATATACCCATAAGAACAACACTTGGGTAGCTGCACGAAATCAATTTGCAAATTCACAAACGGTCCCCATGGAGGGGGATGGGCTGCGGGTGTTGTCTTTACCCGTTGCCCAATGTTATGAGCTAAACAGATGGGACAGGAGCTGTGGTACTGTTGTGCCATGGAAGGAAAATTTGGGGCAAACCAATCTCTTTGTATTGCAGCAATCATCCCCACCTTTACAGAGAGAGTCGGGGTGCAGTGAACATCTTGCATGCAGCCAGTCATCCTTTTCCTTTTTGGAGCTTGATTTTGGAGAAAGGCTAGATTTGAAAGGCTAGCCAAGGGAGACTGGTCTGCTGAAAAACAAACAAGAACAGAGTTAGGAGCCTGTGGGCCAGAAAGGGCCGTGTTTCTGGCAGAATGGTCTGCCAGATCATTTCCTCTTGTCACATCATCAGAAGGTTTTTCATGAGCTTTACATTTAACAATAGCATTAGCAGAAAGCAGTTGAACGGCTTCTAAGAGCTCATTAACATAACAACCATGACTGATTTGGGTCCCTGATGAAGTGAGGAACCCTCTTTGTTTCCATATCCGTCCAAAATCATGAACGACATCAAAGGCATACTTAGAGTCAGTATAAATGGTTGCATTTTGATCCTTTGCAAGGATGCAGGCACGTGTTAAAGCAATGAGTTCAGCAACTTGAGCAGCACGAGCTTGGGGTAAAGAATAGGCTTCCAAAACAGCATACTGAGTGCATACTGCATATCCCGTAACTAATTGGCCTGCATCATTTCTAAGACAGGAACCATCAACAAATAAAACAAGGTCAGAGTTTAGGATAGGAACGTTCTTGAGATCAGTTTGAGGGGTTAACAACTGAGTTGTGACAGACAGGCAATCGTGGGGCTCACCATCAGAGGCGATTGGCAGAAGTGAGGCAGGATTTAAAATTGAACAGCGACTCAAAGTTACATTTGCAGCTGACAATAAAACTTTTTCATATTTGGGAAGGTGGGAATTGGAAATGTGCTGAGTTTTGCCTTTGAGGACAAGGGCCATAACAGCATGCGGAACTGCAACAGTCAAAGAGCGTCCTAAAACTAGAGTATCTGCCTTTTCAACTAACAAGGCAGCAGCAGCACCTCAACAGAGACAAGGAGGAAGTCCCGCAGCCACGGGATCAAGAGCAGAACTGTAGTGTGCAAATAAGCGATGTTTTTCACCATGCAGTTGAGTACCCCGAAAGCGATTCCTTCTTTTTTATGACAAAACAAGATAAAGGTTTTTTTATAATTGGGGAGTCCAAGAGCAGGAGCAACAGTGAGGGCTTGCTTAAGGGCCACAAATGCTTGTTCGGCTTTAGGAGTCCAAGGGAGTGGTTCTGGGGTGGAATCATGAGTGAATGTTTGCAAGCGTTTTGCAAAAGCGGTGTAGCCCAGGATCCACTGCCTACAATAGCCCATTGCACCCAAGAATCCCCTCAGCTGTTTCTTAGTCATGGGTTTGGGAATGTTGAAGATAGCTTCAATTCTACTGGGGGAAAGGTGTCGTTCTCCTGCTGAGATACCATGTCCTAAATAATGTACCTTAGGCTTACAGAGTTGCAGTTTGGAATTTGAAACCTTGTGGCCTCTCTGAGCTAAAGCTGTGAGGAGTGTCAAAGTATCTCGTTTGCAGGCCTCCAGAGTAGGTGAGGCTAACAACAAGTCATCAACATACTGAATAAGGGTGGACTTCCCTTTGAACGTGATGGGGTCTAAATCCTGTTTCAGGATTTGGGAAAACAAGGTGGGGGACTCTGTATATCCCTGAGGGAGTCTTGTCCAGGTATATTGGAGTCCCTGATAGGTGAATGCAAACAGGGACTGGCTATCCTTATGAATGGGGATGGAGAAAAAAGCATAGCACAGGTCTACCACTGTAAAACGGGTGGCATCTGGAGGGATACAGGAAAGAATAGTGGCGGGGTTAGGGACCACGGAAAAAGTAGGTAGAACAGCAGCATTTACAGCTCGAAGGTCTTGCGCAAAACGATAAGTATCTTTACCAGGCTTTTTAATAGGTAGGATAGGTGTGTTGCAAGGGGAGTGTGCTGGGACAATAATCCCTTGCTCAAGGAGCAAGGAAATGACAGGCTTGATCCCTTCCTCAGCTTTCCTTGAGATGGGGTACTGCGGGACACAAGGGAGTGGCTTGGCAGGGTTTAAGGTGATGCGTACTGGTTTCGCACTCAACATGTGACACACTTCATTTGCATGGGTGGACCACAGTTGTGGAGGTACTCGTGCTAACAGTTCCTCTTGCAAGTAGGAAGTGTCAGGATCAGAGTACTCCTGGGTTAGCAAAGCCACAAGCTCGGTTTCCCTATGTTCCAGTACCTCAAGGTAAACACCATTCGGACTACAATAAATTACGCATCCCAATTTACACAACAGATTTTTTCCAATAAGGTTGACAGGTGCACAGAGGCTGAGAAGGAAGGCATGATTCTCAGACAAAGGGCCAATAGCAATGGAGACAGGTTCAGAGACAGGATGTGGGATAGGTTGTCCGCATATGCCGACTGTATTTACAGTTTCAGGAGAATGAGGCAGAAAAGGAAATTCAGTGGCTTTTAGCATAGAGCGAGAAGCTCTGGTATCAACAAGACAGAAAACAGGTTTACCAGAAATAAGGCATTCAACAAATGGACCAGATTGGTCGATAGCAAGCAAAGGAGCAATGAAGTCCCTCAGGCTCTCCTATTCAACACTGGGAAAATTAATAAGAGGAGGTGTGGGCAGGGGCTGAGGTCTGGGTCTTTGGTTGGGGCGGTTGGGGCATTCTGATTTCCAATGTCCTTCTTGTTTGCAATAATGACATTGGTTCTCATAGGCTTGGTTTTGTGGGCCCAGGGATCTACATCTCAGGAAGCTGATTGATACTCAGGAAACACGTAAGGTTAGGGAGTAACCAGATACTTAGGAGCCAGCTTGAAATTCCTATGGATAGCAGATATACTGATGGGATATCTCCTGGTTTCTTCAGAAACAATAGATAGCTTGCAGCATCAGGGTTTGGGATTTTTACTTGTTGTGAACAAGCCTCAGCTTAGCATGACTTTTCCAGATCCTACTATAGTCTTTTAACAGACTTAAGGCAATCATTGGAGTATTCATAACCTTTGGGAGGGGAGGACTTCTACCAGTTGTCCTGGGAAAAGTAAGACCGCACTTGTGGTCAGGGCTCCAATGGGCTGGATGCTGTGATGAACCCTTTACCATTGTTCAAATGTTGCCCATACCCCCTGACTCGTGTCTTGCCTCAGCATTCCCTAACCCTGGATCCACCCGGGCTTCCCCTTCCTTGTCCACGTCCTCTTCCTCTACCTGGGTCCTGCAACTGAGAAATCTGTAAGGCCATTAACTTGGTCTCAGCATTATCTTTGGTCCATTCCATCTTGTTGTGGAAATGGTTGGCTGCAGCAAGGACTTCAATTAAATCTTTAGTTTCCCAACCAATAATTACTGTTTGAATTTTCTCAGCAATTTTAGGGTTAAGTCTCTGGACGAATGCTACCACTATTGCTTGTTGGGCATTTCCAACAGGGTCATCCATTCCTGAATACCATTTAAATGCTTGTTTGAGGCGATCCAAATAGTCACTGGGGTGTTCATTTTTATTTTGTTTACAGGTATTTATTTTGGTCCAGTCTGCTTTCTTTGGGCAAACTGTGAGAACTGCCTGAACCAAAGCATTTCTCTTATCAATAAACTCTTGGCCAGTCCCAGGGTCAGTATTGGGCCAGCCGCTGGCATCATATAAACGTGACATGGTTTCTTTAGGTAGAATAGATCGCATGAGCTGATTAATATTGGCCCACGTTGGATTATAACAATTTATGAGAGTCTGCAATTCTTCCTGAAATTTTTATGGGTCTTCCCTGATTTTTGGGAATTTTTTAATTAAATTATAGAGGTCACCTGCAATCCAAGGTGCATGCACGGTGTTACCTCTCAGCTCCATGTTCTTGGGGAACCCTGACAGGACCAGACTGTCTGACTCATAAAGAATTCCCCCCCCACACCACCACCTAAACAGGAACTGATTAAGATGCAGTGTGAGACACACCTAAAACCCTCCAGATAAGGGTGACTAGAGTGAAACAACTGCCCTAGGTCTCATTTGCATCTGAGATGGAACCAGATGACCATTCATTTACATGAGAGATGGAGAACAGAAAGCCTGAAGCAGAGACTGCAGTGAATTCTGGGATCAGAGAAGCAGGGGAGCACTGCATGATGGGGAATCTGTGCTCCAAATGCTAATCAACCCTCACACCCAGCTCAGCATTTATCAGACCAGTTCTAATCTGGATTTACAAAGG